AAATTATAGTTACCTAACCCCTGAAGTAACTCCGCCTGGAGCCCCATTGAGGGGAGACTACCAGTCTCAAGCCCGAATAAAGAATTAGGGTTAGGCATGGAGCTAGCGACCCCATAACATAGAGAACCAACTCACCAAAAAACGCCAACCAGAAAAAATTATTCAAACCATTTAAACTCTGACCTGGGACTCAGAAGATCCTCATTTAGAAGAGTTATGACGCCTCATGGTGAAAGCCGAGTTTCTTCGGATGTCACGAGGCTGATGCCCTTTCTGACAACCAGAGCAACCAGTTATTTACGTACATGGAATAATCGCACGATATGGGGGACTGGGAGAGTCTTCCAAATTACTGTAGAATCCCTTGAAGTATCATGTAAGAACACGTTTATATGATTCAGATGAATAAATGCTAAGTCAAAAGAATACTCCTACGAATTTATCAATGATTATTAACAAGTTTCTAGTATGTCATTTAATAATAATGCCAAATGATAGAACTCATAGCAACATATTCATCAATCTTATATTAATTTAATATCTTATTGAATTATTGAAATATTATCCATTAAAATGATTATTGGTAAAATCAATAAATTGATGAATAACTTTTTCAAGGTCAAATTAGAAAGTGACCACATTGACTATTATATTTCATTTTTATACATAGTAAATTATACTACTGATTATTGCATTTTATTTAGTTATCATTAATATATAACTATTTTTTCTTTCAAAGGTTAAGATCATGAGTCAGTTGAAGTTAGACCACCATGGAAAACCTGTAAACACTGGACGGCCGCTTCGTCCTATCATGGGACTCCTCAGCAGTGCGCATCCACGACCGCGCACCCTGAGAGATTCGAACCCAGGACCTACTGGTTTCGCACGCGAGCACTTAACCACTAGACCACTGAGCCGGCATTCAACGGTGTTAATGTCTAACTTCAAATAGTCCACGAAATTGAACGACACATTCACCACTGTCTTCAGTGAGTTACTATCTCACAACAGACCTAGTTGAACTCGACTTGTCACTACTCCTCACTAGAACTCCATGATATAGCTCGTGAAGCCATGGTGGTCTAGCTTCAACTGACTCATGATCTGAACCATTGAAATTACTACAATCTCCACAAAACCCATCTGATATTTTTTCTTTAACAATTTCTTTCTAAGAAAAAAATAATTTATAAATTAAATATACTTAGTAACAGAAATTCATTTATATAAAAGTTTATAATTTTTTTTAAAATATACTAATTGACGCCAGTATCTAGGGATTAATATTTAATATATGATCATAGCAACTAACCTTTATTTCATATAGATACATTGATTGATTTAAAATTGAAATTTATATAATCAATCTTTGATATCCATATGATTATATATATACATATAGGCTTATTTTATCGCTTAAATTGGGGAAATGTAATCCACTAATTCAGTTTAGTCTAATTTTGCTTTTTTTTCAAATATGTTTAAATCAAATGAATGACTTCGATTTGTGCATTGAAATTATTATTACATAAATACAAAGTACCTATATAATTGAATGTGAATTACTGTATAAATACAAACTGGAGACAGTGTACTTCGATTAAAAGATCAGTTAATAAAACCGATGGTTACGCATGTGTTTTATACATATATGCATACGCCTGTTACTCCCAAAGAAGCATAGGTCACCGACTAGCATTCTCCAACCCTGGAGACCCTCAGAGGCCACTGCCGGTCCCAAGCCCGTATAAACGAGGAGGGTTGGGCATGGGATTAGCCATCAAATCCCGTAGAAAATTAACTCGCTAAAAAAACGCTAACCAGAAAAAACGATTCATACGTGTTTGTTTAGATATTAAATATGCTATTCATTCAGGATTTAGGAGGTCGTAAGTTCGATTTCATTAAGAGAGTAATGCATAAGCAATTGTGAGGATTCCTACACTGGAACGAAATGTTCATTCACTGCTTTCAGAATTTCAATAATAATCTGAATTAGATAAGTTTGAATTATTGAAAAAACTCAATAATTTTCTAAATCTCCACTCATCATGAAATATTATTTACATTCATTTAGTTCTTGCTATTTATACATCTTATCAAAGTTTAGTACTACGTCAACTGAATAACAGTTTCAATCAAAAGTTATTCAATGTATACCTAGTTATATGTATATTGGTCCAAGTTGCCACACCTTACTCATTAGCACAACAAGATGAACACCGGATTCATAGAAGTAGTTAATTCAATTTTGATAATATATCAAAGAAAGATTGCATATAAGAATACAATACAGGAAGATATATGCCGTAGAAAGAAAGATATAAAGCGATTTTAATCTCACGGTTTGAGGGAAGACAGAGAGTGTATACACCTACGCCAATGTGATCGATTCTGTGCCATGTCACCAAGAGTCTCCAATTTTTGGGTTACGATAGTCACGTGGACCCCAACCAAGTAGTCTGCATCTACAAACATAGCTCAGACTAGAAGTTAATAACTTCAAGATCATCTTATGAAGTTATAAATATGTAACATAGAGATGTGTTTCATTGGTGAATTTTATATTCTAAATAGTTAAATTATAGTCACATATAAAAACTTTTACAAACTAATACCTATTTTATTAATACATCAAATATCTATTTAAATACGTTGGTTAAGCCATAAACCTACTCATCTGTAAGATGATATGACAAGATAATAATCACTGTATGACTTATATGAGACTGTAAGCTTATTATGTGTTTAGTTAAAAATCGTCGACTACAAATAAAAAAGTTTATAAATATATACTGAAATTTGACCCCAGATTAAAAGATTACCGATGGTAAAGTATATACACGATGAAAAGCTGAACAAATAATAAAGGGAACAATGAACAGGGATATATTCTGCCCCCACACTTCTATTTTAAAACATTGAAATAATAAATAATCTTAATAATACCATGATATCAACTACATTCATTGGTACGATACACTATTTCGATAAGAGATCATAAATCTTTATATATCTTTGGATTTTCTTACTAACTGCTTGGTTACCATGCTTATTACACCTAAAATACTGCAGGAAAAAGAATAATCAACTATATCGTTCTCAAGGTACCATAATACTGGGATGCTATAGTACTTAACTCTATGGTTTATAATAATAAATTGAACCTTTGTGTCAGTAACATAAGTGAGAATTAAAGTGCTCATACTAACCATAACTGATTAGCTTGATCACTGATTAAAAAACTATGTTTGTATGGTGTGAAAAAAAACCCATCAGTTACTGGGACTTGCACTATAGAGTCAAAGAATCAAGCTGCATTATTCAAACTGTAAGTAAGTTTTGATGGTGTATGGTCACTTCGAAAGCCCGTAAATTCACAAGTCGTCATCTGGTATATATATATATATATATATATATATATATATATATATATATATGTACATATCCGTTCGTACAATTTTTCAGAGACTATACCACGCATCTCTAGATCAATGTCTTGGTAGGTTTAAACTGCAAAAAATGTAACCTTGATTCTATCAGTGATACACACTACATGCATTGATGTTGTGATTCAAGAAGCAGCATATGTTATAAGGTTACGACCAGCTATGGAGACCGATAAACTTAATAAAACATAATCAATTCTAAGCATCTGTCGTCCTCGTTGCATTCTCAGACTATTCAGCGAGGCTATGATGTATTAATGAAGTTAAGAATGATAAGTTTTGAATTTTGATGCGAAATTCATTCATTCATATAATCAAATATCAGTTTGGTATCGATATCAGTTTATGATGAAAACCGTTCATTTAATTCTTAATCCTTAACTCTAACTATAAATTCCAATCTTAATTTATAATTCTATCTGACTTTAGTATGTAAGTGAGCTGTCTCAAAGCCACTATTGCGCTGTTCAAAAGTCATCCATAAATTATAGTCTACCCGATTAATTCTGTATGTCTGTACTGTGCTAAGCTAGTTGTATTAGTTTGTTGGAAGTTTAATAGTCTACCATTAAAATAATAGGTGACATAGAATCATGATTTGATTCCAACAAAATGGATGATGAAAAGCTATTACATGTAAGGATAGCACTATTAATTTGAGTACTGATATGTTGGTGTTTTTACTTATCCATTTTACAAATAATTTGATCTAAATCATTATATGTGAAAATTATATTTGAAATATTCTCAGCAATTGAAATTTAACTAATTTCAACGTTTCGTCCAGCTAACTTGTCTGGACTTCTTCGAGGTAGTAATCAAAATCAAATTTGATAATTTTGATTACTACCCTGAAGAAGTCCAGACAAGTTAGCTGGACGAAACGTTGGAATTAGTTAAATTTCAATTGCTGAGAATATTTCAAATATAATTTTCACATATAACGACTTCTCTATACTCGGCACTCAATTACTGTCAAACTATTCGTTCTAACCTTGACAAATATTCGTATAAATTTGATCTAAAGTTACATTTTCTCATATATTTCCACTAAATAAATATTATACTCCACGAGATGAATTAATATGAATAAATGAAATATATTTGAACACAATTTTCATCTGTTTTCTAGAGTTCATCATCATGAGTGCAATAGACCTAGAGGAAATCTATTGGTTCCTAACTAGATATAGATTCTTTCTTTCATTACTATATCCTTACATAAAATCTTTCCTTTATATATTACACCATTAAGTGAACTACTTCTATGAATCCGATGTTCATCTTGTAGTGCTAATGAAGTGTGCCAACTTGAAGCGATGTATATATGTGCCTGATCTTACGTTGTAACTGACTGACTAATAGATAAATATCCCCCCTGATAATTAAGTAGTAACCAATGTCCTATATGTTTCATCTGATTCCAAATCGATTCATCAATTGGTTTCATATAGTTAGTTATATTAGTAATTTAGCATAAAATTTACAAATTAAATTAGAACAAAACTTTAATAAATTTAAAATGTTTATTTTATAAATAAAACTTACTTGTGTTGTTTGATTTATTAACAATATTGATGATGCACATGAATGAAACATTGAACCAGCAACTGATTTCACAACTCCTTCAGCTAATTTAAGTAATGGAATATTAGGTAATTCATCATTATCATTTTCTAATCCATGATTTTGATTAGCTGTATTAAATGCCATATTGAATACAAGTTGATGTAATATACCAAATATCATTATAGTTAGTTGACGATGTGCTATAGTTAAATCTTTAAGTATACTTTAAAGATTTTTGAAGAAAAAATAAACAACAGAAAAACAAAGATTAACTTCTTAAACAAATATGAATAGTGACTAGCATTGTAATGCAGTTTTACGCGCGTTCCGTCCTATTTGGGACTCATCGGATGGATGAATCTGCATCCCGGAGTTGATATTCACTCTGAGACTCAAACCCAGTACTATTCGCTTCAAACGCCATCGCGTTCTCCAGTTAGCTACTGAGTCCTGATAGCCACTTGCTTATGTTTGTACAAGTAAGACAACACCAAGTGAATTTAAACATTAACTTGGGTAGTATACATTTTGGTATAACATTTCATCATTGTTTACACATATCACATTAAATATCAATCTATCGACTGTGATAAGCATTTCAACAATGTTAGGAAAGGGTATTGACATAAATCAGTGATAATGTAACAAAATGAATTTTAAAGGAAGATCAACAGGTACTAAGTATCATAGTACTATCACTCAAAGCATTTGAAAGACTACAGATTTTGTCACAGTAATAGCAGAATTGTAGAAAATATCATCTGCTCATAATAAGTGAATATAGAACAGTGATAATAAAACTTCAAACAATTAGTTGCCTTGATAAATGTTGATAATTATCAGTATAAGGGTTGTGGAGTTTATTACGTTTTTGATTGAGATCATGAACCGTTGGAAAACTGGTAACAATGGACGGCATTTCTTTTATTGTGGGACTCCTCAGTAGTGCTAATCCACGAACCCGCCCGCGGGATCCGAAGCCAGGGTCTTCAGTCTCGCTCGTGAACGCTTAACCTACTGGACTAGTGAACCAGCATCCAGTGGTTTTAGTGTCTAACATCAACCAATCCACGAAATTTCGTGATCATCTTCCATTGTACTGAGGTAGATACCCGTCTCTGCCCGACACGGATCTCGTGATCGCAATGAAAATCTTAATATTTTCCACAACCCCTATAATGATAATTAACATGTGCTCACCTTAGGTTTCCAACGGTGGTCTAACATCAATCGGTTTATGGTCTCAATCAAAAATCTGGATAATCCGACGAGAAAATGTAGATTATATGATATACTTGTGAAATACATTTAAAACAATCTGATTATAAATGCACTTGGTAACTAAACTATATATGAATCATAACAGGTCATTTAAATTCATAAAGGGAACCAATTGTATGACATAACAGGTCAATTGGACAAATTAAAAGATAAACGGAAACAAAGATAATAATAATAAAGTTCACTATGGAGAAACATTATTGGAAAATCAATCAATATTACCAGGGTAGATTAATGGTAAAAAAGAAACAAATAGTTTTTGAATACATAAAGGGAGAATTCAATTTTCGTATGGTCAAGGCTTTGATAAACCTTAGTATAATCCTTTGAAAACTTTTGTACAAAACTACAATGGCTAATTTGATATTAACAATGTGACTAATCTTAACCAAATATGTCGCAATAGAAAAGAATAAAAATTTATTACGCCAATAATTCTGGATTAAACATATACAAAATTTCTAAATATAGAATCTTAGGGAATATGAAGAACGAATCGATCTAAAAGATTGTGATCAATTCCAAACCATTTCAATAAAGATTTCTAAACATTGGTTATAAAAATTATTATATCTTAAGAGAAAACTCCGTACATTTCAACAAATAAAAATCAACAGTCAACGACTTCATGAACTAATGGAACAACTCAATTTGAAAGTAAACAGCTTCATTATAACCTGATCACAAGTCAACCAACATCGTACATTAAGTTTGGCGATTGTTGAGCTTGCATAATACATATCCCAACCAAATTAGTCAATACAGATTCTCAATCTTATCAACTAATTCACCTTCTCATGAACTTAACAGATACCGTCATGACTTCATTACGCCTGTTACCCCCCAAATGGAGCATAGGCCGCCGACCAGCATTCTCCAACCCACTCTGTCCTGGGCCTTCTCTTCTAGTTCCATCCAATTCTTGTTCATTCTTCTCAGGCTTGTCTCCATTTTTCGGCCTAGTGTATTCTTTGGTTTTCCTCGCCTCCTTTGGCTTTGAGGATTCCAAGTGAGGGCCTGCCTTGTGATGCAGTTGGGTGCTTTCCTCCATGTGTATCCTATCCACTTCCAGTGCTTATTCCTGATTTCTTCCTCCGCTGGGATCTGGTTTGTTCTCTCCCACAGTACGTTGTTGCTAATAGTGTCCGGCCAACGGATCTGAAGTATTTTGCGTAGACAGTTGTTAATAAACACCTGTATTTTCTTGATGATGGCTTTCGTAGTTCTCCAGGTTTCTGCCCCATACAGTAGAACTGTCTTGACATTTGTATTGGTATTGGTTGACAGTTGTTCTGAGTTCCAGATGTGCTTCAGTTGTAAATATGCTGCTCTTGTTTTGCCAATCCGCGCCTTCACATCTGCATCAGATCCACCGTGCTCGTCAGTGATGTTTTCCAGATATGCAAAGGTTTTTAGATCCTCAAAAGCTTCTCTGTCAAGTGTGGTTCGATTGGTGCATATTGTGTTGTATCGAAGAATCTTGCTTTTCTCTTTGTATATGTTAAGACCTACTGTTGCTAAGGCTGCTACTACACTGATCGTCTTCTCCTGTATTTGTTGTTCCGTGTGCGATAGAAGAGCCACGCTATCAAATTCTTTCTCGTAGTCAACGAAGTAGATGTAAAGTGATGAATTCCGTTCGACTAATTGTTCCACAATGATCCGTAGTATTGCAATTCGGTCTGGTTTTGAGTTGAAACCTGAAAAAATAGTTCTTAAAACAAACTCCGCCTGCAACTCCTGTGAGGGATCACTACCGGTTTAAATCCTGGATAAAGGAGGAGGGTTATGCATAGGGTTATCGACTCTATCTCGTAGAAAACTAAAGCGCTAAAACAAAACGCTAACCAGAAAAAATCACTCAAAACCATCATAATAAACATTATCATATTTCTTAAAATTGTATAAAACTCACTTTTGAAAAACTTGTACACGTTCTATATCCACTGGAGTTAATTGATAGATTTGTTTTATTGAACCATATGAAAATAATAAATTCACCGTATTAGATTGTTGAGTTGTATCAATATTTGTGATAACTATAGCACGTCTTATTAAATCATTGAATTGTTCTGTATATTCTTTATTTGTATAATATACATTCTTGTTATTATCATTTAAATTTGTTTCATCTAATACAGATATTAATGGTGAAGTATTTGTTGGTTCAGCTAATTCTAAGAGTAAATTCTCTGTATTATTATCAATTTCTAAATTAGATGTATCATAATGATGTATTATAGATGTTTTACATATTGTTTTTAATTGATTATTATCATTTAATGGTTGTTGTGTTAATAAAGCAGTACGTAATAGTTGTTTTTCACCTTTTAAACCAATTAAACCATTTGGTATATTAAATAATACACGTTTAGCAACTGTTGCTACAGTATGAATATTATAATCTTTCCAATCAATCATTTGATCCGATGCAAAACGTTGTAATATATGCTATCGAAGAAAAAAAAGAAAACAGGGTAGTACAATAGTTATACTTAGATAATAATTTCAATTCGATTTATCTTAATAAGAATCATAGATGGATAGTGTTTAGTAGTGGAATCCAGGACACAAGTCTCGTCTTATTTGGGACACGTCAATTGGATGTACCTGCATCCCAAAGTTGATGTTCACTTCTGGTACATCCAGCTAACAAGTCCCAAATAGGATGAAACGCGTGTTAAACTGAATTCCATTGTTAGCCACTATCCATCTTTGTTTATAAAAGCTTGTGACTTCAGTCAGTATCGAGGCAATCCACACACGATGCACATATGCCAACATGAGACTGATCTATTGCAGTCCTAAATAACAATGGGAAGATACAAGTAAAACAACATCGAGTGAATTTAAAATGAATCATATTTTATATATTTAAACAATTCTGATACAGTTGAAAATGATTAACTCACTTTTATGAAGTGATCGAGTAATGAATGAAACTAGAAATACTAAACACTAAACTTAAACTTAATGATTTGAGCTTGATGTTCTGCGATCCTCCGTAAGTCTTTGGCTTGATCTCTGATGGGATTGTTGACAGTTAATACTGAATAGATATATACTAGAATAAAATAAATATCCATTACTTTTTGAGTTTCTGTTTTATTATACCAAATAAAGTCTGTCTATGATATAAAGTAACAAATTTACCTATCTTCATAACCTTACATATAAGCATAACTTATGTTGTCACTAATGCTTTTTGGTGCTGGGATGGCATCTACTCAGGGTTTATACGCACAGCCGTGGAACGCTTCACACTTCACACTCTCCATTCTTACCTCCCAAATCCACACTAATACCTTTGACATCAAGTTACAGTTGGAAGCAATAAATAGGAAAATTTAGTCACGTCTAGGTTGTGACATACAACACCGATAAAAATGAAATTGAATGTAAGTAGTTCCATATATGAAAGAAACAGTCATTCTCATTAGCCCTTTAAATGAAATCAGTGAATAATGTATGCTATCTACAGAGATGTATATATAACTGCTTATATTCAGTGTAAACATTCACATTAGTATTTTATTTAACATAAACAATTAACAGTATCAATATCATGCTGAAATTAAAAGCATCATTAATCACTTTATCTACAATATGTCTATTATCATCTCTTTCGATTTTTCTATAAATCAGTTTCATCTATAATCCCTTTATGTTATTACTATTATTATTATCAGTAGTATGATTATTAATATTAGTAGAAATAATTCATTTAGTGCAGATTCAACAGACTAAATGTTAAGTGGTCTCTGCTGAATTAAAGGTCACAGATTCGATCTCCAGTGAATGGGACGTAAATACTTACTGCAAATGAGTCCTATACTAGGGAGAAACATATATCCATTCCTTCTTGATCTTCACTGGTTGCTAACGTTACGCATTTACTGCGAATAAAATTTGTTGATTCCATTAGTTTCATTACTTATTGACCACTTAATATATAAAAGACATTCTCTCAATCAAAATCTGTCCTAGTTTTCAGTGACTGCCTGTTACAGTCAGTCCGTGTTGTAAAACTGTCAATTCAACAACCTTTACAAATCGCGTATTACTTCCTTACGCCTGTTACTCCTCGTGGACGAGCATAGGCCGCCTACCAGCATTCTCCATCCAACCCTGTACTGGGCAATCCTTTCCAGCTCTTTCTACTTGCTATTCATCGTTTTCATATCAAACACCGTACACTAATCATAATGATGTTTTTTTAAGAGATAATTCCTTTGGCTCTAGTGAGAAGCGCTAACTAGAAGAGTTCAGTCATATAGAGACTTAGGTAACTACCAACCACTGACACTGGATGATGATCGCTGTTTCTCGTGAATGCATTAGAAATGGAGATACAAATTTTCAGGTTTTAACTCAAAAATCTAAAAGTTAAGAGCTTCCCACTAGTCTTGAAGGTCCTGAGTTTTATCCTCAATGGAGTCGTGTACGTAAAATGGTAAGGAATTCCTTACTGAATATTTCTTTTACTATGATTCACTAGTAAACATCACTCTCAAGTAAAAGAATTTTCTCCAATTTACATTTGATTTAAAATAATTTACTGATAAAATTTATACAACTGACATTACTGAAGTTTACATACCAAGATTGATTTCAATAAGCTGTTTCGGTAAGACTATAATTTATGGACGATCTTTGAGTGACGCTAGATTGACCCTAAGAGTGTTCACCTAATAACTAGAACCAAATGAGGCTGATAAACCTGTGTGAGGAATTAAAATTCTGATTTAAAGTTGATGGTTAAGGTTAGGAATTACATTAAGCATCAGCTATAATGTAAAAACTCAATTTATCCAAATGGATGAGTGTATTTCGCGCCAAAATCTAAGACATGTTATCTTATATCTGATTGGTTCATCCATGAATTATAGTATCACCACTGTTTCTTCTTAGAATTAGATTAATCATTAGTCCTTATGAAACATTCTATACAGGATCAATTAGAGTAAAGTTTATATTAAATCATTTGTTCTATTAAAATGATCAATCAATCTTTCATTATTACTAAGTTTATACAAAATATGTAAACATTTTTGCAATGGATTGTGTATAGAAGACAAGTTGTGAACCACAACATGTAAAGAAATTCGAACATTTCACTTCTATTTGAAGTTTGTACTGATAATGTCGTTCAGAAGAATAATGAATGCTTCATAACTAAACCATCTAGCTCAATGAACAAAACTTCATCAAAAACAGGGAGTAGCATCTTGAATATGTTCAACTTCATAACAATTCACATCACTTTAAATCATCTAATAGATATTAATTACAAATTAACTAATCGCCTACTTATTTATGCCTATTACACCTCGTAAAGGAGTATAGGCCGCCTACAAATTAATTAATTCGTTTACAAAAATTAAATAAATAAATTAGATTATATATTATCTACATAAAACTTTTAATGAATGTATCCATTTCAACCTTATTGATAGATTGGAAACAAACAAAACAAACAAACATCAAAAATTATCTGGTAAAACTCAATAATGTTTACTAAATATTGTCCTTAAAAACGGTCAATGAAGGGCATATTCAAAGGAAACAAACATGATAATAACCAGTAATAAATGAATTAACGTTAAAATATTAATCAATAAGTGGATAAATTTTGATTGAGTTCTCCACCCTCTCTCCCCAATACAAAAAAGTTATAGGGAAATGAAATTTAGTTTCAGAAGCGGTTTTGTGGAGATTTTAATAATTTCAATAATTCAGATCATGAGTCAATTGAAGCTAGACCACTATGAAAAACTTGGAAGCATTGGACGAAATGGATGTCCAGTGTTTCCAGGTTTTCCATGATGGTCTAGCTTCAACTGACTCATAATTTCAACTATTGAAAATTCAGTTTATCAGTTAAATATACATAGCTTATAGTAAATCTGGCAAGATTTATAAGATTTTCAGGTGAGATTCTAATTTATGAACAACCATTTGAGCAACGCTAGACTAACCTTGAGAGTATCCACTTAATGACCAGAACCAAATGACGATTATAAACCGGTGTGAGAAATTACAATTATGGTTTACAATTGATGATTAATGTTAGAAATTAGATATAGGGAGTTTTCACCACGAACTGACATCAGCTATAATAACAAAAGTTTACTTATCCAAATAGATATAGGAATTTTGCACCAAAATCCAAGACCTGTTATCTCATATATATAAAAATTCTTGCTCTGGTTGTTAGAAAGGACATCGGCTCGTGACTTCCGAAGGAAATCGGCTTTTTCCATGAGGCGTCATAGGTCTTCTAAATGAAGACCTTCTAACTCCCAGGTCAGAGTTTAAATGGTTTGAATTATTTTCGCTGGTTAGCGTTTTTTTAGCAACTTAGTTTTCTACGGGATGGGGTCGCTAACTCAATGCACAATCATCTTTTATCCGGGCTTGGAACCGGCAGTAACTCTAGAAGAGTTACAGGCGGAGTTCCCTAATTTGGAATCCTGAAAGAAAACGGTAAAGAGGAAGGTCAAAGAACACATTACGTCGGGAAATAGAATCAGATATGAAAAGGATGAATAAAAAGTGGAAAGAGCTGGAAAAGATTGCCCAGGACAGGGTTGGATGGAGAATGCTGGTGAGCTACCTATGCTCCTTCACGAAGAGTAACAGGCGTAAGTAAGTAAGTTACTTCAATGTAGATTACAAAAACTATCTATCATATATGTATATATAACTAGATCTTTTAAACAATACTACTTACTTTAATTTGAGCAATATTACCAGGTCGTCGAAATAAATCTTTTGCATAAACACCTTCTTGTGCTAAATATAGAAATAAATTAAATACAGGTATAGGTATAACACATTCTTCAATAAATTCATGAATATTTTCATCATTATTAGTAGTTTGAATTGTTTTGTTGATTGGATTTAATAGATCTTGTTGATATGTGGATTGTGTATATATAGGATCAATTGGATTATTATAAATGGTAGTTGTTGTTGCTGTTGTTTGTAAATTATTATTATTATTATTTATTATAGTTTTTTGTTGATTTGATGATTTTATATTCCATTGAAATGGACAATGTGTTATCCAACGTGTAATAAATTTAGAACATTGTAAACTGATTGATTTTTCAGTAGTATCATTCATTGAAATACATGTTTTTACTGTTGATATTGGTGATGTTGTTGTTGGATTAGTAGTATTAATATTAGTAGTATATGGATGTGCTAAATTGTATTGATAAGATGAAGTTGTTACATCTAACATCTTATTATCACTTAGTTGCTATTCATTTAGGGAAAAAGAAAAATAGAAAAAAACGTTTACCATGATTAATTCAAAAAACTGCTCTTCACTGAATATAGAATTAAGTTTAAGTAATAAACATATTGGTGTCAAATATAATTTATGGATGACCTTTTGAGCAACGCTAAAGCGACCTTGAGAGTGTCTACCTACTTACTAGCGCGTTTCGTCCTACTTGAGATTCGTCAACTGAAAGTGCATGCATCTTAGAGTTGATGTTCACTCTGAGACTCGAACATAGTACCGTTCACTTCAAACAACATCACGTTACCCACTGATCAATTGCAGTTTTGACGAATAATGGTAAGATTCAAGTAGATAATGTCAAGTGAATTTAACCGACTGAGTAGTTTTAAGCCAATGTAAATAAGTTATTTTTTAAGGTATACATAGTGAGATTATAATTTATGGACAACCTTTTGAGCGACGACAAAGTGACCTTGAGAATGTTTACCTACTTACTAGAGCTAAACGAGGGTTATAAAGCAGTTTGAAGAATAAGGATTATGACTTCAGTCGATGGTTAGAGTTAGGAATTCGATTTAGGTTTCTTATCACGAACCGACATCAGCTATAATGCCAAGATTCCATTTAGCCAAATACGGGAATGGATTTCTCACCAAAATCTAAGACCTGTTATCATAAATCTGAATGGTTCATCCATAATTTATAGTCTCGCTAAAATACTTTGCTAATTTTACGAATCAAAAATATTAGACCTATCAATTTAACCTTGAATGTAATAAGCGTTTTCAGTCAGTCAGCTACAGTGTAGGACCAAGCCCATATAATGTATCAGTCCAAGTTATTATACTTCATTAGCACAACACGTTAAACACTATATTCATAGAAGTAGTCAAGTTTTATTTTTAAAAATGACTGTATACAACAAATTTTTTATTTCATTTTTGTAAAGATCAATTTAACTTATATGCTGTATCTGTCACAAGTCGTTACTGATATAGTTCATATATATTAGGAATGAAAAATGTTCTCATTGATTACATTCATTAATGGTTATGTTACTGTTTATCGATAGTTAATTGAAGTTAAACCAATGAATATTGACTAACTGTTTCTGATAGACAGGTGATTCATCCCAATAACTGATAATTTTGCGTTCGATCCCTGGTGGTCTTGTGGGTGCACATTTATCAGGAGGAGTAGTTATCTTGTATTCCTTTGTTCTGAACAGTATGCAAAATGATATATTTGTAATATGTTAATGAGTTTAATTTGTTTAATATGGTTGTCGTTTTTTTAGCAAGATTTTTTTCTACGGGATAGGGTTGCCGAACCCATGTCTAACCCTCCCCCTTTACCCAGACTTGGGACCGGCAGTAGCCATAGGAGAGCTACAGGCGTAGAATTATTTCAATTTCATGATTTACTACAGATTATACATTAATCTATATATCTGAAATAGTAACTTACACAAAATTGTGAAAAATAATAAGTTCCATTTCCTAATCACTGAAATATTACATACGTATGGTCATTATTATTATTATTATTATTATTATTATTAGTGATGACGGAATACCTCATGTTCAATTTATTTCAACTTATTCAGTCAAATAATGGTTGTAATACTCATTTCATTTACAGTATTGTATTGTAAGAACTCCATAATTCACGTGTATACTCTGGTTAAGGTAGCGTAACTTAAGTCAAGAGAACAAGAACACAAATAATGAAAGAAATTAAGAAACAACGACGGAAAGAAGGAACAAAAGAGAGAGGTAGAAAATCTACATTTCAAAATAACAATTCGGCCAGACAAAAACATGGCACAAATCCATGAAGTCACTGATAAGTAAACTGAGCCATGTTGGTAGATGTAGACTATCTGGTTGGGATCAGCGAAACGATAGTAACCAACGGTTAGAGACTTTGAATGAAACATGGCACAATATAATGTGCGATGACACAGGTGCATCCATTTTTTGTGCTCTACCAAATTCTAATCTTCTGAATTCTTCATGTCCCTTTATTTTTACTCTTTCCAAATTTATTTCACTCGACTATACTCCTTGAATAACATCTTCAAACCCTAATGTTTCTGATTACTGCTTATACTCTTACTACCTCTACCACTATGAGATTTGAATTGACAACTGCATCTCCGTGTTAATATGATATGGCAACTTGGACTGATGTGCATACGTACAAAGTTTCACACTGTTACTGACTGACTGGTGAGAAAAGTTCTTACATAAGTTACATATTCTTACTACTTCAATGATCTTATTCTACAAAGAGAAAAAAAATGGAATCAAATCTACATGATTCAAAGTTTTCTTCATTTAGACAATGAAACATTTCCGAAATATTTATTACATTCAAAGAAACGACTGCATAAAAAACGTATTACTAGATTATTCATTGATCATCTTATAGACATTACTTTTCTTCATCATCATCATCTACTACTACTACTACTGATATACTTTATTATTTGTCTGTAGATTAAACCTAGTCATCTTATTTACAATACTTAATGATTCATTGAATACATTCTATCTAAACATTATATATATATATATATTTATATGTAGATAGATAGATAGATATATACATCTATTGTATTAGATAGACAACAAAACTAGTAAATATGTAGAAATACTAACATAAATGGAAGAAAACTGAAATATAGTAATTGATAAACGGTGTATATATCTATACCAACTTCTTTTAAGGGTTTACTAACGTAAATATCAATCTAGTCATTTCAATAGACTTCTAACATTACTTATTACTACTTCTAGTACACTACGTAAGAGGTGAATCAAAAGGTCAATAAAATAATCTATTCAATGTTTAATACAATAAAATTAAAGAAGAAAAAAAAGAATGAGGCAACAACAACAACAAAAAAGAAAATATATCAGTGAATAAGGATAAAGAAGAAAGATAGAAAGTGAAACTATCGACTTATGTCTTATAGATATATATTGTGTTTTGGGAACCTTATGAAAGATATGGCAGGAAAATTGTGTGTGCATGTGTATGTGTATGTGCAGTATGTATGTATGTATGTATGTATGTATGTATGTATGTATGTACATATGTGAGCTTATATTTTGGTACATATAACTAATGATAATTAGGATAGAGAAAAGATATAAGATATTAGATATTCGGTTATGTAATGAAAAACTGATTCCTTCGTTTCTTTTGTAATCACATAAATAGTTATATCTCTTTATACTGTTTAAATATAGAATAAAATGACAATAATAAAATGGTTTCTATGGCGATTATTTCAATTTGTTGACAATGATTTATCATTAAAAAACTAATATCCATCAAATCAAATAATAATAATTTCATTTTGGAATAAAGAATTCATCAGAAGTTCACATAGTAAAAGTTAAGAATTTCAGATTACATAACGATGAGGATATTTACTTTCAATCATATCATCACAATCTAACAATTTATAACATAACATTATAATCTGATTTAAAAAATGGAAATATGTGAGGATAGTTCATGAGATGAACTTGAGTAAGCCTTAAGAAGCTCAAAAAGAGCTGAAGATATTCCATCCAACCATTTTTTTGGAAGAATATTCTAGAATTCTTACATGGAGTTTCCCTATTTAACAAAGGCTAATAACCCTCTGTATGTGTTTTTTACTGAAAATTATAAATACTTCACAGTTTTATACTGTAATTGATATTGTTGAGTACAACATTTCTTTAATTTGTTTTCTGTCTTTTCATTTGTCATTTGGGAATGTTCTTACGTTCAACTGGTCAAGTTATATGCAGTATATTAAGAATCTAAGCTTTAGATAATAACAATTTAAATTAAACCTAATCTATTATTTGTAAAGGTTAATTATACATATCACATATGACATTTATCACATCGATAGTTTTTACCGAATTCCAATACTGTAAAATGTATTTCCATACTACTTGAATAAGTATTTATAATACAGTTTCATTTCTAGACTGATTCATTCTTTTTAGAAATTAAGTTAACTATTAATGAATTTCAAAAGGAATTAAAAGGAATACAACTTAACAGCTTATTTGAAAGAATATTTAGAATATTAAATATTAAATGGTTGGAGTCCGCGAGAGACGATAGTAACCAACGGTTAAAGACTTTGAATGACACATGGCTCAAAATCATGTGCGATGACACAGGTGCATCTACACTTTGTGTTCTCCCAAATTATAATCTTCTGAATTCTTCATGTCCCTTTATTTTCTTCTCTTTCCAAACTTATTTCACTGGATTATACTCCTTGACTGACACCTTCAAACCCTAATGTTTCTGATTACTGCTTATACTCTTAATACCTCTACCACTATGGGATTTCAATGGACAGTTGTATCTGTATGCTAATATGATATGGCAACTTGGACTGATGTACATAAGTACAAAGTTTCATGTTGTTACTGACTGACTGAAATGGATTCTATTCATTATTGATAACAAAGATAACTTTTATAAACCATTGTGTACACTTACTATCATTTCATTATTTAAATGATAGATATTGACATTTTAATAGTAATCGTTTTACTATTCTATATATATGGCATAGTTTAATGAACTCTTACATTCATATCCCCTAACAACTTAAATAATTTACATACTTTTGAAATAAATTTACTATTATGATATAAATTAAATGGAGAAAATAACATATATTGTAGAAACAAAGCTTGAATATTAGTTAAACAATAGTAAAATGTAAAGTTCCATTAACAATAGAAATAGAAACCTCAGCACGGATTTGAAAAGCTCACTTGGCTTTTGCCAGCTTGCATCACCTATGGCGAAAGAGAGATATCTGACGAGTATACTGCGCGGCAATTCGTTTTTTTTGCGTTATGGCTGCGAAACGTGGCTCACTGGGTAAGTAATAGTGAGGTTGGATGCACTTCATTAAGGAATCTCGGTAAATCGGTTAATGTAGTTGTGAATCTTCATAAACTGACATGGTTGGACCACATGTTGCATATGCCTGAACACAATGCTGACTAGTGTTGGGGATGGTTGGAAGAAAGTTAGGGGTGGCCAAACCAAAACATGGCATCAGTCACTGAAGTAACTAACTTCTAGTATATGCCACGTTGGTAGATGTAGACTACACATTTGTGGTCCGCGTGACTATCGTAACCAATAGCTGGAGACTCTTGGTGACATGGCTCAGAATCTATCACTATGATTGAGGTGTATAGACTCTAAGCCTTTCCTTAAACTAAGAGATTAAAATCGCTTCATATCTCTCTTTCTAACAACTCATTCACTCTTCATGTACTATGTTCTTATATGATATCTTTCTTTTATAAACTACCACTACTGAATTAACTACTTTTATGAATCCGGTGTCCATCTTGTTGTGTTAATGAGGTGTGGCAACTTGGACCGATGCACATATGTGCCTAGTCCTACGTTGTAGCTGACTAACTGATTGACAAAGATGGATGCACATATACCAATAAAAGACTGATCAATTTCAGTCCTAAAGGCATTGATGGCAAGATACAAGTAAAACAACATCAAGTGAATTTAAACTTCACCCTGTCGCACAAGCAGGTGGCTATCAGAACTCAGTAACTAAGTGGATAACGTGATGATGTTTGAAGCGAACGTTACTAAGTCCGAGTCTCAGAGTGAACATCAACTCTGAAATGTAGGTATATCCAGCTGACGAGTCCCAAATACGACGAAACACGCGTAAAACTGCATTCCAGTGCTAGTCACTATCCATCTTTGCTTAAAAAGCTTGTGACTTAACGCTATATCGAGGCAATCCGCACAGGATATACATATGCCAACATGAGACAGATCAATCGCAGTCTTAAATAACAATCGGAAGATACAAGTAAAACAACACCAAATGGATCTTTAGTTCACTGTTTGTTTCGTTTAAATTAACATTTTAAAAATAAGAAACTTACTGGATTCTTTTTATTATCAAGTATATCTGTACATGAAATACAAACTGACATAGTTCCTGGTTGTTTTGTTTGAATATTTTGATTTTCTTCTGTTGTTAACGGCGATAATTGCTTATTTTTTGTAATTGATGACAAATATTTCTGCTTTTTAATAGATTGATTATTTAAACAGGTTATAACGGATTCATGACATATAATACAAATATTATTATTATTAGGAAATTTTTTAGTATTCTCTTGTACAAGATTAGTTGTATATGAGAATGGATAATTGTCAGTAGAAGTACATGAGAAAAATCTTCGAAATAATGACATACTCACTACACATCTCCATTCAAGAATAGTTGAATGGATGGACAGGATGATGAAAGTGCTAAAAAAGAATAAAGTAACAGAAAAAACAGGTAAACAAATTTGTCATAGGTTAATCTCGGTTGATGTAACACTACAAATTAGAGGGTAATAAATAGCTAGTTTGTCATAGTATGTTACCCATCAACAATATTCACTCATGGTGTCGATAGGGATCGAATACAAGACAATAAGGCCTTTCAAAGGACCACTGGAAAAAGGAATACTAACGTGAAAAGCTATTTGTGCTATTTTGTTCTCAACTGAGATCAGTCTGTGACGAATATAACTTATAGATTATTATTGTTAAACTAATGATCAGTAAAACATCATTTTGATTCAACGGTTGGAAAGATTTTTCACCACTTAGATTCATTGATACCAAACTGAATGTTTCTGCTAAGAATCATTGGTCTGTAGGTTCATTTTCGTTGAAAATAATCGGAATTGGAGTAATTTAAGACCTCACAAAAAATTTGTAACTCAAAGATGAACATAAAACTGTGTTCCGTCATTGTGTTATATTTAATTTGTTATCGAGGCATATTTTTGAGTACTTCGAGGATAGACATTACTCACGTACATACGCCCATTACCCCTCGTGATAGAGAACAGACTGCTCACCAACATTCCCCACCCAACTTTGTGCTGAGCAATCCTTTCTAGTTATTTCCAGCTGCTTTTCATCCTTTTCATGTGTACTTCCAATTACCGACGCAATATGTTCCATAATCTTTTACTTTTTCGTTTCCCCGCAAGATTCCAAGGAAGCGCTTGCCTCGTGATGCAGTTTGATGATTTCCTCAATGCATGTCCCATCGACCTCTAAAGTCTTTTCCTAATTTCCTCTTTAGATGGAAGCTGGTTTTTTCTCTACAACAATGGGCTGTTGCTGATGGTATACGGTCAATGAACATCAGATATCTTGTGTAAACAATTGTTTATAAATGCTTTTCGATGACTGTCGTGGTAGTTCTCCAAGTTTCAGCTCAGTACAGTAGAACCGTCTTGACATTTATGCTAAGGAATTCTTACTATGATGTTGTCTGACAGTTGTTTTGAGTTCCACATATTCGGCAGAGGTAGGAATGCTGCTCGTGCTATACCAATCCTTGCCATTATGTCTGCATCAGATTCTCCTTGTTTACTGATGATGTTCCCTAGATATGTGAAAGTTTCGACCTCTTCTAGAGCTTTTCCATCTTTGTCTGCAGCTCTTACAGGGTTACTCCCGGTTACAAGCCCGTGCAAGAAAGGAGGGTTGGCAATGGATTCAGAAACCTCATCCTGTAGAAAACCACCTTGCTGAGAAAACGCTGACCAAAATAAATACTTTAAAGTATAGACATCAGATGGCACTAAAATTTCTTAATGAATATTAGCCCTTGGGTAATTTGAGTAATTGCGCCTAGGAATCGATTATATCAATATCAAGCGGTAATTAACTCAGTCTACTGAAAACCAGCACTACGCATATAACATAGTGGATAGTGGTGAATGTTATAAAACCCATTTAATTATGAGATTACTTTGAAGAAAGACACCAACTAAAACTAATTCTTAATAAATTATCTTTCGATTTCAGTCTTAAGGGGTAACGATTAAGAATTGTATGTAAAGTAATTTCATATGATATTATTTAAAATATTTACTAAATGCAAGGAATCAAATTTATTCAATATTGCCCTAACCGAAACAGCATGCACTATAATGAGACGACTCAATGGTTACTTTTTGTATCGCGATTTAACTGCTTTCTCTATTTTCTTTTGTTGAAATGTCCGTAGTAAGCTTAAATTCCTCTTCAAAATAGAATTTACTACTGTTATCACGTGTTGCAGTTCAATATGTTCCGTAAGCTGAAAAACCCACTTCTTACATATGTCATTTTGGATGTAAAGACAAAACTGGTAAAACCTGATCCTTCAACGAACTTTGTTTAGTAACCACTCCTATCAATTTCCTTTAAGATGAAATGAGTTTTTCAAAAGGGGGCTTTATATTTACATGACCAGACAAACTCTGAATATGCACGAACCGTCCAAATATCCCGATGGAAATTCAGTTAAACCTGCAAATATCGATTTACATGACTTTTGCTTCAAACTTATGTCTCAGGTGTAAACAGATTTTTGTCAAATTATAAACAGTTGACCAGTTTTTGAAACCTTAATGTCGTCAGTAGAGAAATGGAACAGAAGTATTAGTCTGGTGTGTGAGTAGTTTGTGGAAAACTATTTTTGTATTTAAGCCACCTACCACGGGATGATACGTAATAAGTAAGTTTTTACTACATACAATTCTCCTCTATGACATTGGATTTTTTATCGTGTCATTAAAATCTTGATCCGAATAACCGAGGTGCTTTTTCACTATCAAATTAATGTCTGTTCGAGTAAACTGTTGAGTACATGACATAAATCAACAATATATTACATTCGCTTACCGCCTGATATCTAAGTAAACCAGCCTCTTGCATTAGCTGTTAAAAATCTAAGCTGGATAGATGCTTTTTCGCAAGGCATGTCGAACAATGTATCTTACGTTACAGCTCCTCTCAAACTACAACTGAGTAACCTTAAAGGTTCTTTAGGATTTAAGATAGCAAGTGAAGTAAATTCTTTAGTTATTTATGCTAAACAATACTATGTTCTTGGCTAGCAAGTAAAAATAATAAGAGCTTATCTCTATTCGTTAATATTTAAGACTGTTGGCTAGTAGGTAAAATGTCAATGTAATTCATCATACTTATCACATTTTTAAGGACTGTGTTTGAAAGCTGTTCTAGAACAGTAACAGTTTGCGAAGAATTATAAAAAAGAATCAATCTTTAATAAAACAGCTGTTTGTAAACCATTCAACAGAAAGGGATTGAAACACAGAGCTCATAAACGCATTTTAGACATGAGCGTTAGAACTCTTCCATGTGCTTCACATATCAAACCTTTTCCATAAAAAACATTACAAATAGTGGAAGCCTGTAAATTATATCAAAAATAAAAACAAAGTGTTGGTACATAAAACGTTTTATGTTTCTGTTAAGCTTAAGATTGCGGTAATTAACAGTCTATTACACACATAAACGAAAGTTTACATTAAAAGAGTATGGGCCAACTTCCCCATAGTCCATGTTATTGCTTTGATCACCCAAAAACATTTAATAGTTTATATCCTCAATGTATTTCTGTGATAACTAAAATTTCAACCAGATCGCACATCGAATTAATACTAAATGCATTTGACTGAGTCACTAATTGTCAGGCATAGCTATGGAACGCGAATTATAAAGATTTACTGAGAGATTCGATTCCATAGACAAAAAGCTGCAGTTAAGTAATTAACAATTATATTACTTAGAAACTAAACAAACCACAAGACTCCTTACCTAAACAATGCGGCTTATAAAGTATGCGTAAATGTGATGAACTAAAACACGCTTCAGGATGATCTGTGTTCATGTCAATAGATCAGGTTTTCTGAAATAAAAACTCAATATTTGGTTGAAAAGCAAGTTATACACAGTTGAAAGTTACCCAGCAGCATCTTTATGTTCTGAAACTAATGAACAGGTGGTTTTAGATCGATCTGAATTGACTTAAGGGGAAATTAACGAATTTCGAAACCTAAACATCCATGAAAATTGAATAATAGTAGTCTTAACAGAAACTTTATACTCGTTCGATCTCAAAATGTTAAGTGTTTACCACATAACGCTTTTAATGAAATCCGAAATTCAATGAAAAATGCTGTGTGGTGATATACGAATATCGAGAGAAGTTATTCAGCAGCAGTTATTTGTCGTAATTATTCATGTAACTTTCAAGCATTTTGTGTGGCATGATTTCGCATAAGTTTTGAGACAAAAGTGGGTATTTCAATTACGGCTGGTGAATAGTTTTTCTTTCGTGCTTGCAAGTAACTGGTATTTGCAATGTATGTTTTACGTGTTTAATTATGCCATACCATACGTGTTAAGCTTGGTGGTAGATAGGAAAACACCTGCGAGGCTGAATATACACCATACTTGTTCTTATGTTGGCAGTTTTAAGACTGTATTTTTTTTAATAAATAAGATGTAGTATCAATGTATTATAAAATCCATAAGGTATGATTTTGCCTGGTCGATTTAATTCCCCGTTGTATTCAGTGAGCAGCATCATATAGATGCGTTCCCACTTATCGAAGTTCATTCTCTTCTACTTATACAAAAGCGGTTCCAAATCTTTAGTTTTCAAGCCCTAAGGTAACCATAAGCCAATCATTTTTTCCTAACTTGATGAGAACTTGATGATGGACCTGGTGATGCAATAATAATAATAATGTATTTCTGCATGAGCAGGTACACGCCATTTTTTCAGGCATGATCTATAAATTACAACATATGTTGGTGCACAGCATGCTTCTCAACTTATTAAGTTTATAGTTGTTATGAAGTAGACTTTTAGAGCGCCTGCTGTAAACCATGACCTTGAGGTGACGCGTACGTCAAGTTTGTTCCAGACATCAGAAGTTCCATAGCTGTGCCCTCGGAGCAAGACTCTGAAGAAAGAAAAAAGAGAAACAAAAGAGCAGGAAGGCACTTGAATATGAACGCTAAATGTTGCTTAACATTCTGTAGTAGAACAGACAGAGGTATAATACATTAGATTAAATTCATATTATCTCTTGTTAGAGTGAAATGAAGTCAGGGGCTCCATATAAGAGAATGTAGTAATAAAGAACAATGAGTTGTGATGTTTAACAAAATGGAGTACGCTTACATGAAGGAACTGAAGTCAAGGCTGGTACAAAGAAAGCGCTTTATTAGAAGGGAGTGTGCATACAGAAGGTGAGGTGTTAAAATTACTAACGACTATGTCTTTTATTGTTTAATTTTTTCTTTCTTTTCCTTTTTTGTCCATCCGATGGAAGCCACACAATCGTAGTGCAAATGTTCGAGTTTGCATGTTGTATGTTGTCTTAGTAGAATAGCTAATCCAGCATAAAATTGGAAACATGAATCTGAGTGATGAGCGTAGAAAGACAAT